CAGGGAGACACAGAACCGTCTAAAGGCATAGGGGAGATGGGATGTTACACAGTCTATATGATATAACCATGCCTGGGCCAGGGTTATGAGGCAGAGTTAAGGTTAGCTGGGCTACAGCAGACTTGAAATTCAGGTTTTAAGATTAGCCTTAACTTTAAAAATTCTGCCTTTCGTGGGCTTCTTTGTTTAGAAATCAGACTGTGCCAACCACGATCTGTGCCCCTGAACTCACCTGTACAAACATCTAAGCTTTGGCCCAGCTTCACAAGGTATTTTTGTCTGGGAATTTAGCTGCGTCTATTTCAGAGAAAACTGCTCAGCGACATTTCTGTTACTAAAAAGTGACTGATTACCCCCTCCGCTGCCCAGTTGCCCCCCCCCACTTAGCTCATTGATACAAACTCACACCCCAAATTCCAGCTTCACAAAGTTTATTGCCTGGGAGTTTCCTTATTTTTTTCATTTTGTTGCAAGATCATTTGCGTCCCGACACTTAAAAAACTCAGCTGCGGATTCCCCCTCCCCCAGCGTCACAGCAGTGTTTTGCCCAGGAAGTTCCTTCACTTTCTATGTAGCTGTTAAACACTTGCCCAGCTCCGGGACCGTCAGGGCACGTCTGTCTCTGACCCGATGAAGCGTCATCCTGGTGTTTGCCGCCCGCCCCGAGTCCTGACTGCCAGCCCCTGCCCCCCTCACCTTTCTGGGGCGCAGTCTCTGGCTGGGCGCCGTGTATGCAGGACTTCCTGCCCTCGCGTTGGGGGCTCCCCCTGCTGTGCTTTGGGATGGCGAGGGAGCCAGGAGGAGCGGTGCCGGGGGAGGAGATAGCTGGTACTGGCCATGGGGAGCTCTGGGGGTTAGTGCCCCGGAGCGGTAAGGAGCGTGCGGTGGTTCTCACCTGACACAGCCGAGAAGTCCTCAAAGTCGCAGTCCGCGGCGAAGCCCATGGACACACAGGCGGTCTCTAGGAGCTCGTCCATGGGCACAGAGGCGGAACAGCACATGGCCATGTGCGGTGCGGCCCCGAAGCCTGGGGAGGAGACGGACCGACAGAGAGGGACAGACAGACACGCGGACAGAGATAAGCTAAGAGAGGGAAGGGAAATCCGCCCCCCAGCACACAGAGCCAACACACCGTTGGGACCCCTCCCCCATGCCCCCCAGCTGGGACCCCCGACACCCAGCTCCATCCTCCTCTCCCCCAAGCTCCCTCAGAGTCAGGATCTCCCCCCAGCCCCTTCCCCCCAGCTGGGACCCCCTTGATCTAGCCCCTCCCCTGCTGCTTTCCCCCAGCTTGGACCCCTCATCCAGCCCCAGGGGACACAAGGGTGGGTGCTGCACCCCATGGATGAGGGCAGGATGCTGGGGGGGGGGGGGCGAGAGGCCCCCGCTAGCCAGGCCTGCTCACAACAGCGATGCGCCCGCCCCTCCGGTCCCTGCCTGTGGGGGTCGGCTTCTCTGCCTGGGTTCGACTGTCTGATTCTCGGTCTCTGCCCCCGTCTGTTTGGGTCTCCGATTCTGGGTCCATCTGTCTGTCCGTCCGTCCGTCCCACAGGCCCCACTCTCCCGGCTGGGATGGGCCAGGCACTGAGGGCTGCTCCCCATCCCACCCGGCCAGCGCCCGCCACTCTCCCCCTGCCCTGGGGACGGGGGCACTGGGGTCGCCCTGGGGGGGGGGGCAGGGAGGGGGCAGCTCAGCCCCACGGGAGCTGGGGCAGGGAGAAGAGAAAAGGGATGTTAGCCCATAACCCATGCTTCTGAGTCCCTCCTCTCACACTGGGATCCCCCTGTTCTGGGATCCTTCCCATAATTCCCTCCCCCTTCCCTCACCCCGAAGCCAGGTTCCTCCCACAGTGCCAGGTAGGTTCCCCCTCCCACCTGAGCCCCTCCCATGCTGATCCCCCCCCAGTGCCGGGATCCCCGACCCCTCCGGGGTTAACTCTCAGCAGGATGTCCCGTCTCACCAGCGGCCCCTGCACCGGCTGCCCCCGCTCCGTGTCCACCCCCACGTAGGCCGTGAGGGAGCAGACGACCCCCAAGCTCAGGCTGGTCTCCAGCACCCAGCACCGGTCCCCCACCGACCTGGTGTCCACGGCCCCCTCCAGCTCCAGCAGCAGTGACTTGGCTGCCAGCCGGTGAATGGGCAGCCTGTGCTGGGGACAGAGAGTCACGGGGTGAGCCCCGGACGCCTGGGTTCCTGCCACCATGGGGAGGGGAGCAGGGGCTAGTGGGATAGTGTATGGGGGGGGTTGGGAGCCAGGACTCCTGGGTTCTATCTCTGGCTATAGGAGGGGAGTGGGGTCTAGTGGTCACAGCAGGGAGGCTGGGAGCCAGGACTCCTGCTTCCTTCTGTAACCTGGGGCAGGTCCCCTCCAATCTCTATTATGTTGGGGGTGGGGATGTGGGGGGCAGGACCCAGCGGCTTGGGGAGGATGGGGACCAGGGAGCATTGCTGTCACCTGTCTGCATCCTGTGGCTGCAGGGGGAACTGCAGCATCTCCTTGTAGGTCTGGTCCTGGATGCGGTACTGCAGGGTGACGGCCCCCATGGCAGTGTCTGGGGGCTGCAGGCAGAGAAAGGGGGTCAGAAGGGCAGCGTGAGGGGGGAGAAAATCAATGGGGCTGGGTAGCACAGAGCCCCCAGCTCAATGGCCATCGTTAGGGGGTCAGAGTTATCACCCAGGAGGGGGTGGGAGGTTCCCGGCTCAGTCACTGACCCCGAGCCCTGGGGGTGTCCGGGGGGGGGGGTTGCTCTCTCACCTGGGGCTGCCTGCAGAGCTGGGCGTAGATGAGGCACCGCTGCCCAGGAAGATCACCTCAGGGCCCCGGCCCAGCAGCGCCGCCTCCATCCCAGGGGGCAGATCCCAGCTCAGCGAGATCCCAGTCACGGCCGGCTGCAGGGCCCGCTTCAGAGACTGCAGCGCCTGGGGAAGGGACCGACACACCCAGGATGGGTCCAGGACACCAGGGTCCTATCCCCGGCCTGGGGGTGGGTGTGGGGACTGGTGGAGGGCTGGGAGCCAGGACTCCTGGGTTCTCTCCCAGCTCTGGGATGGGAGTGGGTGTCTGCAGGGTTAGGGCAGGAGGGGGAGGGGGAAGCCGGGACTCCTGGGTTCTCACCTTGGGCTGCATGCGGTCCTGGCCTGTGATGAACTCGGTGCTGCCCCCTGCTGCCCGGGCGATGCCTTTGACCAGAGCCGTGGAGGCCCTTTCCCCGATTCCGAAGGAGAAGCACCTGCAGGGTGGGCAGAGTCGGGGGGGGGGGGAGTTCAGAGACAGGAGTGGGAGGGGCAGAGATGGGGGGGCATTCAGTGCTGGGGGGCAGTTGGAGAGGGGCTAGTAGGGCTGCGGGGAAGGGTGAGGTGAAGGGATGGGCAGATGCTGGGATTGGGGTCTCTCTGTTGGCAGGGTTGGGGGGAGATGATAGGGGCAGAGGTTCTCCATGCTGGCAGGGCTGGAGGGAGAGAGTTTGGGGTTGCTGGGGGGGTCTCCAGGTCGGAAGGGCAGGGTCAGCTTTGGGGAGATAATGGGAGGCAGGGATGGGAGGTGCTGGGGGTCCCCAGGCCGGGGGGGAGAGAGTTTGGGGTTGCTGAAGGTGCCCATGCCAGCAGGGCTGGGAGGACAGTGTTTGGGGTTGCTGGGGCGTCTCCAGGCCGGCAGGGCTGGTGGTAGGGTCAAGGAGTGCTGTGGGGCAACAGTCACCAGGTCGGCAGGGCTGGGGGTAGGGTTGAGGGGTGCTGTGGGGCAGAGGGTCCCCAGGCGGTAGGGGTGGGGGCAGGGTTGAGGGGTGCTGTGGGGCAGACGGTCCCCAGGCCGGCAGGGCTGAGGGACAGGCATGATGCTGTGTGACAGGTTACTATTGATTAGCACAGTGGGGCAATTCGCCGATATTCATATCACAGACCTGCTGCAGAGCTGCTGTGCGCTCGGGCCGGTACACGTGATAGCAGGGATGGGGGGGCGGTAGGTGGCAGGGTGGGAAGTCGCTGGGAGGCAGGGCTGGGGGGCAGCGTGGGAGGGATGCTGGAGGGCAGGTTCCCCTGTTACCTGTGGGCCCGCCAGTGACGCTGCACCTCAGCGATGACGTCCTGGGTGTTCCCCACCTCCCCGTCCGTGAACAGAAACAGCTGGCGGGGTAGAGATGCTGTCAGAGCCGGGGACCCCCTCCCACTGGGAATGGAGGCAGCCCCCAGAGAATCTTCCCCACTGACCCCCCTCCCAGAGACCCTCAGCCGCATAAAACCCCCCAACCCCCGTCCCTCCCTTCCCAGACATCTCCCCTGGGGGGCTGACAGTGACCCCTTACTCTAACTGTGACCCCCAACTCTCACCTGTTCCCTGGCCCCTGGAGACATTAACCCACCCGACTGCCGTGGGCACCTTTCCGGGAGCTCCCTCGTGCCCCCCACAATATGCTCTACCTGCCCCCCGGCTGCAAGGCACCCCCAGAGCTGGGCTCAGCACCCAGCGCTTCCCCCCAGCTCTATATAGAGGTACCCCCACAGCTCCTGCCTACCATGGCCTGCCACCACCCCCAGGGGCACTGGCCCCCCGTCGGCCCCAGTCCTACTCTGAGCCTCCCCCCGAAGCCCCCATCAGCTACCCCCCCAGCCCCTCGGCAAGCGACCCCCATCAGCTACCCCCAGCCCCCCACCGAGCCCCCGGGGATGCCCTGCAGCTGCCTCTGATACCTGGCGTGGGTGCCCATCTCGGCAGGGGCTGCGGTAAATGGATCGTAGCGGTGCCAAGATCTCGGTGCCCCCCAGGTCGGCCTGGAGCTGCCTGACGCACTGCAGGGACTTGGCCATGGTCTGTTGGGTGTATCCCACGCTCTGCCTGCGGGGGGCGCCGAGGGGTCAGGGGCCGGGACAGCTGGAACCAGGGACATCCCGACCCCAGCCACCCCCACCACCTGCCAGCCCTGCCTCCGACCCCAGCCAGCCCTGCCCCAACCCAGCCAGCAGCACGCCCTCCCACCCCCACCGACTCACCGGTAGAAGGACTCGAACCGAGACCCAAAGCTGTAGATGTTGAAATAACAGCCCAGGAGCAAACTCTTCAACAGCAGGACCAGGGTCTCCTGGGGATGGACAGACAGATGGTGTCACCCCCACGGGCCCAACCAGCCTGGGCTGCTGCTCCACTCAGCTCTGCCCCCTCAGGCCCAGCCAGCCTGAACTGCTCCCCTCCACAGACCCATCTAGTCTGGTCTCCTGCCTGGCCATACCTTGGCGCTGTCGATGCGCTGGGGGGAGCGGTCTCGGCCGTCCATGGGGCACCCCATGCTGCCGGAGCGGTCCAGTAGGAAGATGAACTCCCCGGCCAAGCTCTGGCCTTGTATAGCCTCGGGCAGTCTGGGCAGCAGCGTCACCATCACGGCCGGGTCACCCATCAGGGAGCCTGCAGGGAGAAGGGGCCAGCCCCAAATGGGGGGTGGAGGGGCATGGGGTCGAGCCCTGTGAGCCTGTGAGAGCCCCCAGGTCCCCCCTCCTGCCCCAGAGTCCCACCCATGTCCCTCCCCCTACTGCCCTTCCCATCGATTCCCCACTGCCCCCAGCCTCCCAACTGCCCCAGAGCCCCACCCCTCTGTCCCTCCCCCCATATCATCCTCTCCCTAGATCCCCCACCACCCGCATCCTCTCAGTATCCCCCGGCTGCCCCAGAGCCCCACCTCCATCCCTCCCCCCATACCTCTTTCCCCTAGATTCCACACTGCCCCCAATTACCAGCCCCCCAGCACCTGCCCTTCCATTTCCCATTCTCCCCCATATTCCCAAACCTGCAGTGCACCCCAGTGTCTACTGCTCCCAGGCACCGCACCCTCCCACTCCCAGCTCCACTGAAACCCCCCGCTCTGGTCCCCTGAGCCCCCACACACCTCATCCTCAGCTCCTTCAACACCCATCCATAATCATAAGAATGACCAGACTGGGTCAGACCAAAGGTCCATCTAGCCCAGGATCCTGTCTGCCAACAGTGGCCAATGCCACGTGCTTCAGAGGGAATGAACAGAACAGGGTATCATCAAGTGATCCATCCCGTTGCCCATTCCCAGCTTCTGGCAAACAGAGGCTACAGACACCACCCCTGCCCATCCTGGCTAGTAGCTGTTGATGGACCTATCATTCATGAACTTGTCTAGCTCTTCTTTGACCCGTTACAGTCTTGGCCTTCTCAACATCCTCTGGCAAGGAGTTCCAATGGTTGACTGTGTGTTGTGTGAAGAAATACTTCCTTGTGTTTGTTTTCAATCCACTGCCTATTAGTTTCATTTGGTGACCTCTGGTTCTTGTGTTATGAGGAGTAAATAACACTTCCTTATTTATTTTCTCCACACCAGTCATGATATGATAGACCTCAATCATATCCCCCCTTAGTCGTCTCTTTTCCAAGCTGAAATGTCCCAGTCTTATTAATCTCTCCTCATATGGAAACCGTTCCATACCCCTAATCATTTTTGTCGCTCTTTTCTGAACCTTTTCCAATTCCAATATATATTTTTTGAGATGGGGCGACCACATCCACACACAGTATTCAATATGACGGCGTACCATGGATTCATCTAGAGCAGCGTTTCTCAAACTGGGGTCCGCGGACCCCTGGGGGTCTGCGAGGGAACTCCATGGTGTCCGTGGGTCACACTGACCAACTCTTCCCCCTCCCTCAACTCCTCCACCCGGAAGCGGCTGCCAGCTCCCTGTGGCCCTAGGTGCCTGGGCAGCCAGTGAGGCTCCGCTCACTGTCCTCGCCAGGAAGGGGCAGCGGGTCCCAAAAAAAATTAAATCAAAATGGGGGACCTCAGGTTGCTAAAGTTTGAGAACTGCTGATCTCGAGGCAATACAATATTTTCTGTCTTATTATCTATCCCTTTCCTAATGATTCCTAATATTTGGTTTGCTTTTTGGATTGCCGCTGCACATTGAGTGGATGTTTTTCTCCTGGGGGAATTCTGCACCACTGAACATGCACAGAATTTATGCCCAGTGCCGATTTCTTTGCTTCCCTGCAAAAAAGTGACTTTCTGCTGGGGAAGCAAAGGGAAGCCACAAGAGCGGTCATGTGACCCTCCCCAGCCGTATCCCGCAGAGAGGTATATCACTGTGGGGCAGGGGGCGGGACTGGGAAAGACCCAGCTATTGGCTCCTACCCTGTTGGAGGGCCAAGTG